ATTATATTTATTTAGATTCTATAAAAAGAATATATTATTTATTAGAAATTATCCAATAAATTAAAGCTAAATTCTCTATAATTAAGTATTTGGTATATTTCCAAATAAAAAAATCATACCATATGACAATGTAAATAAAATTTTAGAGTAGTATTTAAGATATACCATCAACTACTAAGAAGATGATTAAACAAATTTTTTTGTCATTAGTAACTTTTATTTGTAATAATATGGTATATTTTTCTATGTAATAATTTTTTTTTATTAATTATGATTATCATTCACAACTTGATGCTTTTAACTTCTCAAAAGTTGATAATTCTATGGCAAAAAATGTGGTGAATCATTTATTTGAGAAACATACAATAATGAAGGCATAATCAAAAGAAGCTCAAGAATGAAAATTGACCAAAGTAGATGCCTATCATAAGGAACAACCTTAATTCCATGTTGGAAATAAGACATGGTTATTTTATTGTAATATCAAGATTAGTCAACTTTGTAATAAATTGAATTATTGTGGGCTTAGACCATTTCTTATTTGTGAATAAATCAATTGTGTTGCTTATCAATTATATCTATCAAAATCTATGAAGATCCATTCCATATTCTATGTATCTCTTCTTGAGCCATATAAGACAATAAATATCTTGAAAAGAAGACAAATACCACCTCTTTCTATAGAATTGAATAATAATGAAGAATTCAAGGTTGAAGTAGTCTTAAACTTAATACGGTGCCAAAATTGGTTAGAATAACTTGTTCATTAGCACAAATATGATATTAATGAATAAAAATAGAAGCCAAAAAAGAATCTTATAAATATAGTAAAGAAGGTTAATATTTTTTGTCAAAAGCATCCATCAAAATCAAGATAAAGAATAATAAATCTTTGCTATAAAAAATTAAAGTTTAAAAAAATTACATTCAAATTTCTATCTTTATTTGTAGCTTTTGTATATTTATAGCCCTAAGAAGATAAAAAATCAATAGCTAGGAGATTCAATTCAAGAGCTATCATTTGTTGACTTATTAAACAAGATATTGTAATTATCATGGCTTTCAAGATAACATAGTCGAGATGAAGTCTTTCAAGAATGACATGTACTTTGTCAAATAAATGGTGAGATATAATGCATTTAATATCATGATCTTAGAAGAGACTCTTGATGTTTGGTGATTTTATTAAAAGTAGAAATAACTCCTAATAATGTTAAAAATATTTTGTTTGAAAGAAATTATAAAATGTTCAATAATGATTAAATAATAAAGTGGTCTTTTTGCCTTAGAATAGAATATTATCAATGGTTGAAAAGACCTATCAACTACCTTTAAAGAAAATAATAATCAAATTATTTAGCAAATATAATTTACTGCATCTTGAACTTCTTTAATATGTAATCACCCCTCTTTTTAGAACTTATCTTTAAAAAGGAGGGAGAGGAGATAATGTCATGGATATATCTATAATTATTTTGATAATATGAATAAAGAAAAATAGATAAAAGTAAGATAATTTGATAATATCTTATAGAAAAAATTCTTAGAAACTTCATAAATATGATTTTATTTTTATATATGTCTATAGATGATTGATAGATTAGAAACTTAGTCAAAAAATTAGCCATGTAATATAAATATTCATAGCTTATGGTATAAGCTAATAATATGGAGCACTTATAGGAAACTTACCTTGCAAGTTAAGACATATGTCTCACAAATTGGACATGTGTTGGACGTCTTATAAAATATTGCTATATATTTCTTAAGTAGATAATATATAGAGGCGTAGGAATGAAGCTTTCTTCAATCTTATTAACTCATCTTATGCTTCTAATTTAGTTTCAAGAGTCTTTAATTTTCTATTCTTTTATAATAGCCATTCTAATTTTTTATTAAATATATTTATTTTCTTATTTTTAATTTGTCATCTCTCTTTGATTCATTTTTTACTTTTTTACATATCTTCTTTAAATTCTTATCTTTGACAAATATTTAGCTAATTTTTTAGCCAAGTTTATAATTTATTAATCAACTATAAATATATATAAAGTCAAATACGTATCTATAAAGCTTCTAAAATGCTTTACTAGAAGATAATATCAAATCTACTTACATTTATTTTCTACTTAATATTTCTTATCTAAATAAATATGAATGTGTATAACAGATGGTAATCTTGTTGAATCTTTGATAATCCACACATATCTGCAATGATCTATCTTTTTTCATCACAAATAAGATTAGAGCCTTTATTGGAGATTTAGATTAGCATATAAAATTTATAGCCAAGTTTTCATCAATGAATTCTTCAAGTGTAGCCAAATTATTTTTTAATAAAATATGGATTGATCTAAATGGCGATTAAAATCATTCTTAAAGATCAATTGAATAATCATACAGATGATGTTTTAGAAAAATATTTGCATTTCTTAAATCTCCTTAATAGTCTATAGAAAAAATGATTCATATAAGTAATAGCTTGAGCAATAAACTATTCTAATGAATATTGATAAGCTTGTCAAGATTTACAATAGTTATAAATCTATTCACACTTCCATTAAGAATAGCATCTATAATTTTTTTATTTTTTATTTTTCTATTTATTTTTTCATAAACAACTCAGAAAAATTTAAAAATCAAATTAAAGAAGGATAATCCACGACCTCTGGTATCAAATGAAAATTTCCATACATAGAGATAATTTTCTTTTTTTAAGAAAAAAATTAATATTAAAAAACTAAATACTAGTTTAAAGATAAATAGTTTGCAACCTTCAAAACACAACAATAGAAGTAGAGTAATTCTCTTCTAAATATAAAAATAAAACAATGAATTAACAATGCTATCAAAATATCAAAGATATAAATCTTAAAAAATTAGAAGATCAATAATTTTATATGTCATTCAAAAAGACTAGAAAACCATTCAAAGATGGTATTAAATTAGAATAGATATTGCCAAAGACAAGAAGACTATAAAGTCTTGAAACAAGACTAAGGACTAGAAAGACATTGACAAAAGTAAAGAAGACTTTACTCTTACTTTCATATATAATATATAGCTAGGAGCTATATAACAATGTTCTATAGGACATTCAATAGGTATTCAATTTGCAAGACACATGTCTTAATTTATAAGACAAGTTTCCTATATGTGTGTCATAGAATCAATTTGTAATACAAGCTATCAACATGTTATTATGTTGTAGTTTGGCTACCATGTAAAATTAATGTGATTAAGTATTTAATGTATAATTTATTTAACAATATGGTGAGAGCCATGTTATTGGATTTTAGTTGGTTATAAAATGTGGTTAAATTACTACTTTAAAAGGAGGTTGTTTAAAAAGATTACTATTAAAATTTGTATAACTTTATTTTCTTTTCATAGTAGTTTTTGAGATTGATTTTGTTGGTAGTAATTTTAAATATTTACAGTCACCTTTACTAGACATTGGTGACCCTTGAAGTCTTATTTTGGTTCTTTAATTTGGTGTTTAGAGCATAAATTATGTAAATCTTATAAGAAAAAGGATTGAAGAAGGATTTTAGTAGCAAAGGGAGTAATTAGGGCACCAATATAGATGAATGGAGATGGATGATGAAAATCTCGATTCCTATTAGTCAAAAATCATGACAAATGGGCTTTGAAGAGGCTATCTGATGCCATATTAGAGATTAAGATTAATTTTTTGACGCAATTTGAGCTTTCAAGGCTAGGGTCAACAAGTTTAGGTTTTTGGCTATGGTTTTGGTCCAAATCTTGTATGATTTGGAATTTATATGAAGGAGATATAGGCGCTCAAAGTTAAGGTGTTGATTTGGGAGCTATTGTCACACTTTCTGATATAATGCACGCATACAAAAAGCAATTGAAGATTGGCAATTGTGACTGGAGAGAGCACTTTTGCGGCTATACTTTTGTAGGATGCTTGCTAGATTCCAAGTTGAAGTGAAGGAGTTATTGGATTTTGAAGTCAATGCATGCAATCTAAAGGTAGTAAGTGACCTGATTTACTAGTGGTTGTGTCTTGAGCCATATCTTGAGCAATTTGACAAGGTTTTGGCTCAAAATTTCAAGGAATGTGTAAATTCATGTTAGTAAATATTATATATAAGTTTGATGAATTTGAGTATTGGATTCTTGAGATATTAAGAAAATAGTGCTTGGGTGCTTGTAAATTAAAGTTTAGACCATCTAACGGATTTCTTAGATGCCAAAAGATCGGGAGTGAATTTGCAGTTGGTGTTTTTTGTGGTAAAACTTAAGGGTGAATTCTACCCACCCTATAAATTTGAGACAAACTAAACGATTTGAGATTCTTTATGTTCTTATACCATGAAGGTATTCAAGACAAATAGAGAATTCATAAGAAATATTAAGACTAGCCTTTTACAAGGTTTAAATACTCTTCATACACTATAATATCTTATGTATGTGCTATTTATATATATATATATATATATAATACTGTATGCAAACTGGATACTTAGTAACCTAAATACAAGGAGCTATGATTATACCAACATCTTGAACCAAGCAAGGGGAATTATGCCTTCTTTTCAAAAATGAATTACGCCATTTCAGCAAAGTTACACCGACTCCTATTATCTGTACAGTAACCTCACTCACTCAATCACTGAATCACTCACTCTATCTGTGCGAAATTCGTGCAATGGATGTCGACGCTCATAACTCTCTCAAGAGAAAGCGCCAAGCAGCCCCGTCGGACAGACACCAAGTCCGCCTGGAAGCAAGCAAGCCTGGAAAAAAAGGGGGTTGGTTCACGACGAAGACGAATAAGAAGCAGCAGAAAGAAAAGAAAATAAGAAAAGATCAAATAAATAAAGACAGAAAGAAAAGAAAGAACGAAGACTCCTTCAAGCCAGTCATGGGAACAATCAGGGGAACACGAGTGGGAACGGTCATGAGAACAGGGGACGCCGCTCCCTGGTATTGGTCTGTTTGTGTCTCTCTGTTAGTTTCTGTGTTTGTGATGGTGAGTTTCCGTGACCTTTATTGCCTCCTCCTCGCCCAGATTCTCCTCCTCCCTTCTTCTTCCTCGAAATCCAGTCATCGTCGGTTTACTGCAAATATTCTGGGAGTGAGGGAGAGCGAGAGAGAGGGATTAGCTAGCGCATTACGGGGGCGGGGGCAGGTTTTGTCGAGTTAGTTTCCTTCTTCTTCTTCTTTGCGGGCGGGGATCGGTTGAAGAGAGAGAGCAGCAGCAGCAGCAGGGGTGCGGGGAGGGGGAGGGAAGCTTGATTGATTGAGTCATTCAATCGTCTGTAGCGATTTGCGTGTTCCTTCCTGGTCATTGCAGTTGTTCGATTTTTGTCGCGCTGCGCTACCTTTGGGTTTCCATTACTGTTGAGATGAGAGTGGTGTAATTGCGGCCGTCTCCGCGATGTGTACAATTTGAATGAAGTTTGGTGCAAGAGATTGTTCGATTAGTGGACCAGGGGTTCTATCTGCTTCTGTAAGACTAACCGCCTCGTGATCCCTTACTTTTCGACTCATTGCCTTACTTTGATGCGTGTGTGTTGGTGACCTTTTTGTACGAAGCTTGAATTGATTCTGAATAGTTGTCGGGATCACAAGACGGCTACTTTCTCTGGCTCTGGATCTACAGTCGAGCTTTTCATAGTCTTCATTGATTAGAATCAAATAGCATACAATTAGGTTATTCAATGAGTCTCTTAGAAAATTTGGTTAGCGTAAAACAGAACAATGTGTTGTGAACCAATTTAGAGTTGTAAAGGCCACGTGGACTAGACATGAAGTGTGGGGTTTGTAATTTAGGGTCATCATTAGTTACATTATCTTGTAGATTTTATAGCTCAGATTCTGCTTTAGAGATGGCATTCTGGATTAATTTTTGCATACAAGATTTGTATTCGGGATTACGATCTCACTCGTAGTTTCATCTCTGCAGGTGAATGCAAGGCTTTAATGTCAGACTGCCGGTTTCAGCCTCATTTCAGCTGGTCTTTATTTTAAGGCGTTCAAAATTATCCGGAGTTATGTGTTGAAAAAACCGTACAGATCATATTTCTCTGAGGAATTAGAGTCCAAAACCAACATGTTGAGATGGCAATCACCAGTGCCAGATACGGACTTTCGAAATGGCAACAACCTTCATTTAGACTCTTTTAATGTTACTGTTAATCCTGAACTGTGAGTCACCAGCATCTGATTCTATCTCCCGACGTACAGTACATTCGTTTAGTGGGCAAACTTTACAATAAGGTCTTAGCAGAAAATACCTATATGTATATATATATATATATACACATATGAATTCACTGTGCTGCAGTGGTTGTTATGGCCAGGGGTTTCCGAACAATTTTTTGACATCTTCTTTTCTCAATCGTATCGGGTTAATTTTGTGAAGTGACCTGTAATTGCAAATTGGTTGGAATGCAGATTTACGAATTCGACTTTGGAATTCCCCTTGTTGTCGTGGCACCAGAAAGCTGATACGTTATGGGCTTCTTTGTATTGCATGCTAGTTGTGAGTTCTCAATCTGAAAACCTTGTTTGTTTCTCCTCAAATGTGGGAGGCGCTTTACTTGACCCAGTGAAAACGTGTCTGGCTGGTATGTAATGTTGTGAATTTACATCTACACTCTTTGATCTTCTGGCTGAAGTAGGAAACAATTGAGCAATTTCAAAGTATGTGGAAAAGTTTAGGGTAAGGGTTATAAGATGCACAGAGCAGGTTGATCGAGCACCGATTTTGATAATATATTATTTTTCTTTCTAAGAAAATGTCATGGTTTATGTTATGAAGGCTGTGCAGTAATAAGATTATGAGCTACTGTGGTAACCATGCAGGTCGGGTACGCTGTTATTGTCATTTTATTATGGATCGTGAATCCTTTCAAAATATCTCAAGCTGCCCTCTTCTCAGTCTGTAACCTCCTCCTGCTTCTCATTACAGGTCAGGCCTATGTCGAGTATACTCATCCTATCAGCTGTAGATACCGAGCAAGTTTCTTTGTGATGGATCGAGGTTCACATATTTTGGATATCAAACAGTGAAAAATAGTTCGCTGTGTTCTTATGGTAGGTATCTGTCTTTCCCTGAGTTTTTTTTGTCTAGCACTGTGTGATCCGTACTGATGTATGCTTTGGCGCACTTGCGCATTTCAGGACTTCTGCAAAGTTATTTGGATGCACAACTTAAGAAGGCACAACGGCAGGTATTCTCTTTGTCTTTCTTGTGTGCATTATTATTCAGTTCAGTGATTTCGAGAGTGCCTTTACTAATTGTATGAGACTGTTGTGCAGGGTTATTTGAAGTTCAGTGCAATTTTGGAATGGATTATCCATCAGCCTTTTCAAATTGTTGCTTATGGTAATCCAGCATACGGAGCCCTGTTCCCATTATGTCCCCGATATTCATTTTGATGACTTATCACTGATGCATTTTCTACACAAATTGTAAACACAGAAAGCATTATTATCCGACGAGGCTTTGTTAGGTCACAAACTTTTGAAATAGATAGAGTATTTTATCACAACATTCTGTGGCATTTATCTTGTGTGCTGATCGGAGACTCTTTGTCTTCTGATTCTATTGAGTACGACGTCTACATTTGTATGCAACGTGCATTGTTACAAATGTCCTACCTACTTAACATAGAAGCTCTATTGTGTTAAAATCTTTTTGACATGATAATGTCGGATAGTAATCTGTAGTGGATCGTCTTGATGATCCGGTGGAACTTGTCTGGACTTTTGTCAGGAACGTCATTAGTCTTGTTGGTGGTGACCTGGGACGCACTTCAACAACGTTTGGGCATTCCGGCCTTGCTGTTGCTTCGGTGAATTCAAAGACCCAATTGCTTGGCATTTCTCTCAGGGTAGCGTATTTCTTTGCATATGCTTATAATTTTTCAACCTTTACCCTTTTACTGTAGCCATCTAAAATTTCATTATGTAGCAAGAGCATTCATTATATAACCAAGTCTTTCCTTCTGTTGTACAGAATCGTTATTCTAGTGCAACTACTATGGGCAGGGACTCTAGTTTGTGTGTTTATATGTAAGTCAAAGCTTTCTGTTCATCATCTTTCCATTGCATTCCAGGTGTATAATGGATTTGTTGCTTGTTGATTGTCTCACATTTAGTATTGCTCTTATTCTTGGACCTTGCTAGGCACGCTAAGTGTCCAGAAGAAGGGACGCGTCTATTTTTAGAAAGATGTTAGAGGCTCTTTATGTACCCAGATAATTGTTGAATAAAATAAAAAGTGGGAACTGAAATTTGTTCATGTACTTGATCCAGGTAAGGTGTATGGACACAATAAAGCTCATTTCCATCCTGATGCAATAGACACACTTTATTCTGTTCTACGATCTTCATCTGGGCTTGAAGATGTGAGGTATTGTTTGCTATTTTTTTCCTAACTTATTGTATTGGGATCTGAGCAATTAATGATGGACAGAGGTTTTCATTACTCGAAGCTTCTTTTTGTCCGATTTTAGATAGTTCAATTTGTGTTCCCTTCAGTCTCGGTATGTGTTGATACGTCTGCTTTTGCGCTTCAAAATCACATTTCGATTCTTCTTCTGTACTGGATGTGGAATTTTGTGTCTCACGACGTTACGACCATGTCCTGCAGATACATTGATGGAGGAGGTCTAGCTGAGCAACAGGCGGCTCTTCTCCACTACCAGCAGGACAATTTGCAGTATCTTAGCAAAGAGGTATGCACGTTTTCACGACACGGATTTCCTGCTTGATGTCGGTCTTTTATCAAATACAACAAAGAAGTGACAGTCTTGTAGGTCGACGGAACCTGCTCAAAAGATGTGCTACTTTTGCAGATACTCCGGCTACAAGAAATCTTGAGTAAGTATGAGAAGACTCAAGATGGAAGCACTCCACAGGTGCAAAACAAGTTTTATTTGTTTATTTCTTATTATTTTACTTTTAGTTGCCATTACTGAATGTATCTTGATCATTACGCTTTCTCTGTTACCGAGTCAATCCTTCAGTATTCTTGTGTCCTTTGCTGTTGTTAGATGTGATTTGTGTATCACTTCTGTGTGTTCTTATTTGGTACTTAAGTTGCGGTCCTTGGATGTGGTTGATTTTGCAGGTTGATTTGGTGCATTTGCTGGCTTCACGAGAGCAAGAGCTGCGTGCTATTACAGCTGAGGTCTACCAATATTCCTTATGATGGTTTTTTAGAAACGTGGGATTTTATTGGTTTGAGAGGCTTGAAAACATTTCATAATGTCATGTGTTTACTCTACTTCGTAACAGAGGCTTTGTTGTTCCATGAATAATTGCAGAGGGATCAATTACAGGCAGAGGCCCGTCTTGCCCGCTGTCTGATTGGTGAGCGGGACGCTGACATCTTGCAGGTCCGCGCTATGAATGATCAGGTACATTCAGAAATCATCCTTCAAAAATTATTTCTGAGTGCCTTTATGTTGGTGTTGCCCAAGAAGCACTATTTGGAAGAACATTCGAATATCATATTTTCCTGTAGCTTTAATTCACCGATGCACTGTTTTCACAGTATGTGGAAGAGAATGACCGAGTTCGCGCAATGCTCAACGAGTGGAGTTCTCGTATGGCTAAGGTATGTTGCCTGGGGTTGTTGACGATAAGTGAAATATGCTTTGCATTTGGGAAAAAACTTAGTCTGCATACATGAGGGATTGCTGTTCATGTGTCACGTTGTCAATCTATGGCCGCAGCCATTCCCAAATATCGTGATGGCAAAAACAGTATACTCCATCATTCACACGAAGAAAACATACCTTTTGATAGTCTAGTGTGTAACGTAGAACACATCGTGTGCTGTTTTTTGAGTCCAGAGATCGAACATGAGTGGATAAAATTTTAGGAGCTTGGGTGTTTTTATTGCTAATAACCCACCTTATATTGACCACGTGGAATTGCAGTTGGAATTGGCACTTGAAGCAGAGAGACGAACAAATCAAGAACAACAGAAAAAAATCAACCAGCTTCGGACCTCAGCTCAGTCCTCGTAATGATTGATTAATTTGCAACAGAATCTGTGGGTTCTAAACCACGAAAAATTCTAATCTATTTAAAAAGCTGCCTCTCTTTGGATAAGTGTGTTGAGATGCTAAGGAATGGTCATCCGAAGGACAGTTGGGCGAACAGTAAGTGCTCAGCTATCTGCTCTTCATCAAAATTTGAAAGTACACACCAGTGTGATGTTCACACTAAACCAGTTGCAAATACATTTCTTGGGTGGATTGACGAGTTTCCTTTCATAAACCACTTTCGTTGTATCAATCCTTTTTCTCCTAATCATCCTCTATGGGATTCGTTCAGGGGCGAGTACCTCATCAAAAGGACGCTGACCTTGCCCATCAGATAGCGAATAGGAATCACTCGGCAGAGTTTCTGGAATGAATTTGAGGACCAGTTCAGATTTTCATTTTTTAAAATAAACTGATAGTTATGTTTAAGCCCTATTCAGATTGGTGCATGTGATCTGAAAAAATTTGAACAGTGGTATTTGTGAAATTCTCTTTGATTGGACTTTTTCATTTGAATTTGAATTGGAGCAGATGATTGGAACACTCGGTTGATATATAAGTAGATGTCCATCTTTCTTTGATTGTGTATTAATTTAGAGTTTAGGAAAGTAAATTTTGAACTATTTTTGTTTTTTGTTTTTCAAAGTAAAAAATGAAGTGTCATGAATCTTAGTGACTCAATACTATTGTTATTTGGATATTAAATTAATAAATGTTCCATCCATATGAAAGTTCACAAGGATGTGCACTTTGTAAGTGAAGAATTACATAATGTAAAGTGATTTTGATATCATTTAACCTTTAAACCATCTGGAGTGATGTCACAAACAAAAAATGTTGTAGTATGTAACTTTGACAATGTTTCATGTGGACATTTAACAGTAGAATGTGCAGAAATGAAATATTTGATTCTTTTGAAAAATGGTTGAATGCAAGTATTTTATGTCAATGTTTTTGAAAATGAAAACATGGCAAAATATATAAATAAAAGGGGGAATATTAAATCAACACATTATGTCACTTTGTGGTTTGAAATTGCCCCAATTTTCTTTGAAATGCAAGGTTTTCTAACATAACTAACTTATCTATGAATTCATGTCCTTGTGCTAATAGGGCATCATTACCTAATATATATTGCTCATAACAACTCAGAAGAGTTGTGGGTGTTTGAGCTTTCAAGTATTTGTGGTGTTATTGAGGTAGATTAATTTAAGTTTTAGGTGGGTTAATTTAATATTCTACTACATGCAAATATTTATATATACAATAAGTGTTTATTATTATTATTATTATTATTATTTTCCCTCATAATTCTCACTTTTATGTGCTTTCATAAAAAAATAATCTAACTCTTCTGAGTATTTTTTAAAAACAAAGATTAATCTTATAAATAGATAATTATTAATGCTACATCCCCAATTGATGTCATTGTACCCCCAAGTGACCTCATTGTAGACAACTAGCTAATAATATGCATCTTTCTTTGGTGAATTTTTCTCTTTCTTTGCTTTGTGAAAGGATTGTGGTTAAGAGGGAGTAGTGAATATTTTATGAAAAATACAAGTTGCTTGTTATTGTGTTTTTTTTTTTTTTTTTTTTTTTTTTAAATAACTATTTTATTCAATTTTTTAAAATTTGGTTGCCAAAAAAAATATATTCATTTTTTTAATTTTCTATTTTTGATTTAATATTGGGATTAAATAATAGATTGACAAGAATGCCTTAAGCATAGAAGAGCGCTTTTTAGTCAATTTTAGTTATGTAAAGATCATGTAGGGTATACCAATATTAAAAAAATTTAAACCTACCACAATATTTTCTTAATAACTTAAAAATCTCTTTCTCTATCTCTATATATCTATATTTTATAACCAAATAAAAATAAGAATCGAATAGATTATTTTAAATTGAAAATTGATAATTGAAAATTTGAATATTTGTGTATTCAAACAAATCAAAGAAAAGAAACGACTTCCAACAAGACAGTTGGTTTAAGTTGGTATGTAGAGTGGAATTAAATGCAAGTTAAAGCACATATCAAAACTCATTTCATTTTATGAACTTATTTTATTTTATTTTTATAACTCAATAATTATACATATATTCTATTTTCAAATTGAGACCAAAAATTCATTCTTTGAATTTGCCTTGGTTCTTTAAAATGCTTTTGATGTCTATCCTATTTGCAAAGACACTCAAAACCTTCCTATCAACATCCAGAAGAAAAAAAAGGAAAAAGAAATGAAAAGAAAATAAAATTTCACCCAACTTTGTGTCATGTTCATTACCGTTGGTTTTCACTTACAGTATGTTTAGCAAGAAATTGATCAACCTAGAACTCATGATTGTACATTAAAATCAATCAAAGTGAAGAAGGTGTCATATTATGAAAGAAGCCAAAAGTAAAACCCACTCCCTACCTTTCCAAACTGTTTGGCAGAAATTATTTTCCTGAAAAACTGTCAAGTTAAACAAAAACAACAACAACAACAACATTTAAAAACGTAACAAAGATACATTGTTTTCAATGTTTAGAAGGTACATCCTACAACATACATACATACAGTAGTATAATATTTGCGCATTTTGTCTTTCCCCATCAGCAGAGTATTATAATATGTTGCATTCAATGAGCAATAAATTTGCAAATCAGTGAAGTGCCATCCATATCAGGAGCACTTGTGGCAAATCACCCACTAGCTAACAAACACACGCCGCTTGGAAGGAAATATATAAATATCTACAATGGCCTTGGTTGCTGCTCCGACGCCACTAGTCTTGGATGCAGCTCCACCGCGCATCCTCTCTCCCACTCCTCCTCTCGCAATCAATTGCTTAGGGGACTGTCTCGGTGCTAATCATACACACACACAGCAGCTGCATCGAGCTAATTAAGCGAGCAAGCAAGCCCGGTCTCACCACTACCCCCTGCTGCTGCTACTGTCGATTTAGGGGTTTCATGAGATGATAGCTCTTGCGACTCTGTGTTGTTGTGGCGCTACCCACTCGTGAGGGAGGGACCCAATTCTAGGAGAAGGGTAGGGAGAGTTTTAGCTGCTGCAGGTTGGGTTTGTGTTGATGCTTTGAGTTGTAACCGACTGTTCGTGCGCAGCAACGTTTTTTTTTTTTTTTTTTTTTTTCAGTTAATTCATGGAAACAGTGTATGTAGAGTTGCTGCGCAGGTGGAATTCGAATTGAGGACGCGTTTCGAATTTGCTGTAGGGTTGACGACGTCATTTTGTTGCTCTTGAGCGGTCAACGGAGCAAGATGTCTTTTGGGTTGCCTTTTAGACCTCATAAATTTAGTTCGCGCGAGGTTCCGACTGGAAATCTCGTGCCGTTTAGACTCTGTGGGGGAAGAAATGCTGGGGGCAAGCATTGCACGATTTTTCACAAAGAAGGATATGAATGGCGATGGCGGAGCTTGCAGGTCTCGTTCCGCACGAGGGAGGAAGTTTTTCAGTCCTTCGTTGTCTTCAAAGCTGCGGAAGAACGAAGGGATTATGTCGGACGTAGAGCAGGAATTTCCGGCGGAACGTTGCTGGGAGCATATATTTCGTGCGTTAGACCTCCTCAGCATCATCTTTATGTCCATTCGGCATTCTATGATGATGTACCGCACAAATTAGAATGGCGTTTATTACGACAGCCTCCAGACGAGACATCCAATTCCACCCGCTGCTCCCCAACCGTCACGGAATGCAGTGGTGCAGCGGATCGTCATGTTAATGTGGCAGGATCGTCCAACTTAACGGTGCGGTTCGACATGGATTCAAGTGACCAAGGAAAGGTTTGTGTCTGTTTTTATGGTGAAATCTGCTCAATGAGTCGCATGCGCTAACTTATGGCTTGGGAGGATACGTGGCTCTTGTTCTTTATACAATTGTTTGCAAGAACACGTCACACGTTACTAGAAGTCACAATTTTAATAGTTTTTAATAGTTTATTTTTTTATTTTGTTCAGAGGGATCATATTAGGATGTCCGTCTCGTCCAATTCTTAACAGATTGGGATCATCAGTGATATGGATGAAGGTATTAGTTACTCTTGCTGGGTTATCTGAGGTGACTTTTTATTACCAACGGAATCGTTTTTTCCTTTGCGGTGTTATCAATAGTACACTGTCTATGTTTCTGGGCTACAGGAGGAAATTATGTGGGCGAACGAAAGTGTGACAACTGCAAGTAGTGCCTTGGCTCAGTGGCGATCAGCTCGCACTCGAAGTGGCCAAGACGTAGTTGACTGGGGACGATATCATCTCCAGGTAATCGGTTACAATTTTGTCGTTGTTCATGGAAACCTTCATTCTATCCACACAGTAACTGTTTACATTAATCTCCAAACGTTTAGTCTTTTTTTTAGTTTGCAGTGCATATCAAATGCTCCTCATTTTGAGCTTGTAGCTTTCAAGATTTTAAATTTCAAACTTTTTCTTGTAGTATCCTTAGCGTTCGTGAAGTTGTTGCATCAGAAGACTAACTCCGGATTTTTACTGGCGTGGATAAAGAGTGTAATCAACGTAGACATGGTGTCTTACGTCTCCGGAAAATATTTGCATGAAATATTTACTGAGTCGTGAAGAAACAGGTTATGTTTGTGGATAGATCACACAGAGCGCGGGCTCGTTTGGCAGAGGGACTCTTTGAACGCATCGCTGCTTGGAACGGATTCGGTCTGATCCTCTATGGCGTATGGGTCTACCTCGATGTCTATTTTTAGAATTCCTTATCATTAATACCTTTGAAATTTCGACGCTTACTCTCTTATTTCGAATTATCCTCATCGGACTGTCAACGTGAATCAGATTCTGTTTCATTATTATGCAGCATTCATGTGGAATCAGTGCAATAGAGGGCGAACTCCCATCTATGAGCTATCAGGGTGAAGGGCAGAGGCTTGGTGTAGCTCGTCATGTGTTTAAATCTCCAGCAACGACTCTTGATCGTAGGTCTAATTCCTTCTTGAAGCTTACTAAGTGATCTGAATGAAAACCTCCAGGCATTGGTTTTTCAAAATAAACTAATAATATTTTTAAGATAAATTTTACAATCAGCATTCTTCTCAGCAGACCTGAGAAGTAACGACTGTCCCTTGTTTTGCTACGAATCTATGATTTTCGTTATGCTGCATGACTCATCTTGAAATTTGATTATCATCTCAATTCTTCTGAAGTTAAGAACATTAGACAGTTTTTTTCGTTGTTCCATGCCCTACGAGATTATGTATTGTGATGGATTCATATTGTAGAAAACAAACCTGCGCGCTATTTGGAGTAACCTTCGATGTGAACGCATTTGATTATTTGCAGTGACCTCGACAGTTATGACCTGATAGTAGCTATGGACATTGAAGTTAGGGACGAAGTTCTACGCTTGGCAGCCTCTGGGCCTTCAAATGACATTTCCTACGCCAACAAGGTATTCTTCCGTCTTTGTACAAAACCGTGAAACTGTTGGTCTTACATGGTTGCAAATTCAGTGGTGGTTCTTGAAGTGTAATTCTATGCTTTTAGTCTTGCCAACGGCTTCGATATTACGAATAACATGCAGGCAATTTCCATAGAGCAGGATCCCATTTTGTTTTAGTGTTGTGTTATTTGGACAAACGACCGATTTCTATGAGATTTTGGGACAGGCAGAAGTGGAAGTTTTATGGAATGGACTGATTTTCCGTGTATTATATCTCAAGGGTTGTTGTGCAGGTTCGATTAATTAGCGAGTTTGCTACCTACGGTGTAGGTACCACATCCTTGCTGGAAGATAGTCTGCTAGAAATGATCCAACCCGATCTACCTCAGGCCTGCGCAGCACTTGAGGTGAGCTTCCACCTCATGCTCACTGTCGGTACCTCAAACTATTGTTGCTGCACTATTTCTTCAATTTTTGGTTATATTCTGGAAAATTACAACCACATGAAAACAATCCACCATCTGAAACTCCAGTTCCTTTGTCGTGGTTGGTTCAGGTTCAGCCCACGTATATGTCACAATATTCAAAATGGCGTGTTATGGTGGCTACCATATCAATGTGCTGTGCAGGTTTGATTCAATTTCTAATGGATGCATATCCAGATGACCTTCCCGACTATGATCCTGTAGATTAGTTGGTAGGCTCTTCGGAAACAATCTTCTCATCAGTGGTTCCTCTTCTGTAGAGGTAGAAACTGACATTTTGTTGTATAAAAAAATGTACACAATAATATCATGGGGGTAAAAAATTGGTGCTGTATGCAAGTTTATGGTCTTTATCTATTGAAAAGAGGTGAAATACAGTCGCCTCCCATTCTCGTGGAGTTGTTAAGGTAGTAACACCTAAAAAGATTGACGATTCCCTCATTGAATATTAGTACTTGTATTAATAGGACGCGGATTCCAGGATTATTGGTATTTAGAAAAGTAATTGCCTAAAATATCTACACTGGACGGATACATTTTGTCACTATGGTCGTTTCATTCGTATTGGTTTTGGAATTGCTAAATACTCACATGCTAAATATTATAAAAATGTCATATCTATTTTCTTACAGTACAAGTAATGAATGAAAATGAATAACAATTAATATCATTAGAATTATTCCCGTAAATTCAAATCATGTATGCTACGAAATAAAACAATTATATGGCATGCACTTTTTTCTTCCAGGTCATGTGAGCAGTGCCCCTCAATTTTTTTGTTAGGTGCACTTTAAGAATTTTTTTAAAAAATAAAACTTTGAGAAGACAGTTTCAAAGTTGTCAAGAAAAATATCCATTAAAAAATTTAAAATAGATTTGTTATGTTTTCCATAATTCTCACAATCAAGTTATATTTTTTTGTACATAGAACAGTAAAAAAAAACTCAAATTTCTAAAAGACAATCATTCTTCATTAAACACAAAATCTTCCTAAAACTTGTGAATCATGTGTTTCAAAGTAAGATTTTAGATCCGAAGACCAGAAAAGGGTAATTCATTAGGATTTTCTGTTCATCCAGGACCAGGTGTGAGCTCAAGTACATAATCCGCTGTTCTACAGCAGCCTATCTATCTATATAAAGACACCCTTCACCTTGCTTGCATGTAAGAAAAGCCAATAATAAAAACCAATTCAATTAGTGCAGATCCATCATTTTAATCACAATCATCGTCGCATTGACCTCAAGGCTCTATCACGGCTTCCAAAAGCCAACACCTTTACACCATACCAAAAACAAACAATAATTGTATGAATCTATCTATATATACACACACGCACACACACACACACACATATATATATATATATATATATATATGCAGACACATACATATAGACCCCATCAGGGTGAGCTGAAACGAGGATTATCCAGGTTGAAGCCGTGAAAACCGAGTTGAAGGAAGCAACCAAGGTGGGGGCTCAAACAGTGCTTTGCTTTATTTTGCTTGGGAATAGCGCAATCTCGGTGGGACTGCAGATGCAGCAATATTATCACCCATAAGCTTAGTCCACTTTTCCCTTTTCCTTTCTTCCGTCTACCTAAGTCTGTCAAGGCTCAGCGATGTTGTCATGTGATTGATCCCTCCACCGTCATCGTCAGGTGCGTAACTAGATGTGTCAACGATCTTTTTTTATTCCGAACATGTGGTTCCCAATCGGCGTAGACTCAATGTTTTTCTTGCGAACATTCGAGACTAGACCTTTTTTCTCAGTGTGGGGGTTCGGTTATTGTCGAGCTGCTGGATGAGCACAGAAGTCGATCGCAGATGGTTTGAGGAGTCTTGAAGGCTGTTGTAGTTGTTGTTGTTGTCTTATCATTCTGTGAGCATAGCTTGCCTCGATTCCTACTGGGTGACTTGACCAGCGTCTGGGCGAAGTTTGTTTCGCAATTCTTGTTGCTTTTCAATGCTACGCGCGAGTTTTCCCCAGCTTCGTATAGAGGCTTCAGATCAGGTACCGATTGGTACCCACTAATGCTTCTTCTCCTTCGATCTTGCTGGATTGTTTGATGACTAGAGAGAGCAATCCTCAACCTTTAGATCGTTTTCACTCGGTTTTAGCACTGGCACTTGCTTGCATGACCAAGTCACGACCGTGGTTGACGCAGTTCTAGCGTAAAAGTGGAGGGAATATCTTCTTATTCTGTGGACGAGGGCTTTGTGTGGCGTGCAGGAATCCTATCGAGTAATCGTGCTTAATTTTTTTAGGAATTGTACGAGTTGGGATTTCGAAAATATGTTGTGAAATTCTTGCTCGGGTTTCAGTGCCACTCGCAGCCGATCGTTGGGATTGACACTGTTTTGAAGCAAGTGCGAGGGTTTTGCTCCAGGGTTATAGGTTTTAGGGCAGATCCATCTTGCTCTTCATCTGTTATGTGGTAAATTCTAGCTCAGAATTGTCTCTGCGGTATGTTTTATTGATCTAGTACCGTGGAGGTGGCTGACGCAGTCTTTATTCAGGATGTAGAGCCCTGAGGAGCTCTATGCGGTTTTACTAAACCGTGTTACGTTGCGACCCGGAATATTTTTTTCTAGTCACTAAAAGTGATTTATGGCGAACTCTCGGGTGAATATCAGTAGCTGCCTTCAGAGCCTTAACTGTTTGAGACTGTTGGAGGAATTGCAAGTTACAATGCGTTCATCGCCGTTAAAAGGCGGACGTCGGCACTTTAAGCCGAAAGTTTCTATTGGTCGGTGGACAATCCTCGCGCTTTTCACACTTTCAATGGTCTTTCTGTACTTGATGGTTGGCGATGGATGGCGAGCAGTCGGAGAGAATTCTGACACTGGCTCTGAGGTTACCCTACCTGGTGAGCAAGAAGGATTTGGTCCCATTTCAACATGGATTCAATCCAATGACCAAGAGGGATTAAGTCCTACTCCAGCAGTGTCTCAATCTGGTGACCAAGAGCAATTCAGTCCTACTCCAATAGTGTCACAATTCGGTGACCAAGAGGGATCCTTCGTTGTCGTCCCAACGCCTACCGCTTCAATCGAGAACTCAAGCATTTCACAAACAGATTCGAGTGCGGCCCCAAGCGTCGAGGCTATTTCCCCAACCCTACGTAGTTCTGACAAGTGTGATGGCCGCCGTGTCTACATCTACGAACTTGCGGCGGAATTTAATGAGCTGATTTTGAGGAATTGCACTGGGGTGGAGGCGTGGTATTCCATGTGCGATGACATCATCAATCAAGGGTTTGGAGTACCATTGCAGATTCCGGAGTCAGACCCAATGGCGAGCATTCTTCAACCCCCGAGTGCATGGTTCCGCACCGACCAGTTCACCATTGAGATTACCTTCCACGAGCGATTAAAAATCCACCCGTGTCGGACCACGAACACCGAAGAAGCCTCCTTGTTCTACATCCCTTTCTACCACGGCATCGACTTAATCAAAAACCTCTATAACACAGACTTCGTGGCACGCGACCGCTTAACCCTCCTCTTCATCAAGTGGTTGCGATCTCAAAAGCCATGGCAGCGCTATCAAGGCAAACGACATGTTCTGGTCTTGGGCCGCATCGTGTGGGATTTCATCCGTGATTACAGCAAGGACAAAACCTGGGGGAGCTCTCTGCTCACGCATCCCGAGCTTACCAACGTCACCAAGCTCTTGATCGAGCGTGACATATGGAAGGACGACACGCTTGGTGTACCATATCCCACTTCCTTCCATCCATCCTCCGAATCCGATCTACGCGCATGGCAGCGCACTGTCCGGACCTTCAAGCGTCACAAGTTCGTCTCCCTGGCAGGCGCCACCCGAGATAATAAACTGACCGGCCTAATTCGCGATGCGGTCTTCGAGCAATGTGCAAATTCCTCTAGATGCCACAGCATCGCTTGCAACGACGGGTGGTGTAAGAGAAACCCCCAGGTCATCGTCCAAATGGGTCTGGAATCTGTTTTCTGCTTGCAACCTCCCGGCGACAGCCCTACTCGCAAGGGAATCTTCGACAGCCTGCAAACGGGCTGCATCCCTGTGGTCTTCAACCGGCAACAAGCTGCGCTCCAGTACCTGAGCCATCTCCCAGGCAACCACAGCGACTACTCCGTGATCGTGTCCGAGGAGGACGTTTGCGACCACAACTACGACATCATGAACCACTTGTCTAGGATCCCGCTAGCCGAGGTCGCGAGGATGCAAGCCAATGTCGTGAACCTGATTCCGCGGCTCTTGTACAGGAATACGAAGCTGACAGGCGACTACACTTCCATGGATGCGATCGACGTTGCCATGGGTAGTTTGTTGACGAGCTTCGACGCTGAGAAACCGATCGCTGGAGCGTCATCGTGATCAGTGATACCCTTCAATCTCGTCGCTGCCGCTGCCGCCGCCACGGCCATTGCAGAAACCCACCCACATTCTTCCAACGTGTCGATGTGTAGTGATTATTCCACCGCCTTCCGCGGTGCGAGCCATCACAAATCCACAACTGATCACTCTTCTTCGGCGTGGTGCGATGTCCCATCCGCTTCGGGATTTTTTTTATTTTTTTTTCCTTTTCCGACATGCTCTGCTTGCTTCACGCGATAACCGAAGCCTTTCTTCCCCATACCACAAGCCCTTCTTGTGTGTGGGTGTTGATAGTATCATTCAATTAGTTATAGATCTACTGTAAGTATACCAGTTTACCGCCATGATTTTCTTTTCTTTTTTTTTGCTCATTCTTTTTCACATGAGCTGCAATTTTGATAACTCACTTTCGGATTAACATGCAAATTGAGTTTATGGTCTGAGTTCGTTTACTTTCAGCCCACAAACATGGGTCCATGATCTCAAAAGTTTTGGTGGTTTTTGTGTATTTTGAATGTCATTTGAACGCGCTTGGAATATAATAGTTCCGTTAATCCTTGATCATGTTTTCCACAAATGCTAATGCTTCAACCCCCGTGTGTTTTTAATGAGCCTTCGCCTACCTTAATTACTATTTGTTTACACATGGTGTTAGAATTTCATAATCTAACATATGTAATTCTATTACTTGATTTTAAGATAAATCTGGACAAATATTCAGGACCCGAACATGTCTGGAATTTTGTTTGATGTAATTTTTCTACTAGTAGAATTGTGGAGATTAATTTAAGAAGTGAAGATGTGACATGATCATCACTACCACATCTAAACTTTTATACACTAAATTTATATGTTTTTCCACCAAAAAAAAAAGGGAAAAAAAGGGAAAAAAATAAAAATAAAAATAAAAATAACGCTCTTCTATGAAACTTTGCATTTTGAGTATATTCGAGTGGTTTATCATGTGTCAAATGATTCCTATTCCTCAAACAGATCTTGAAATTTAAAATCAAACCTGATTACAATCAAAGTACTATACGTTTTGATTGATTCAACAAATAAGAACACATACAATGTAGCACAAAAAAATGTTTTAGTTTTAGAAGTGCACATGTCCACCCATGCCATGTAAAATGATCTTGTGAGCATTATGGAAGTCACATATTAAGAATGATATCTTTATAAGAAAGTTTGAAAAAGATGTTATGATGAAAACAATTTTTATGGTTTTTCTTAAGGAATCATCAAACACAACTTAAGGTTTCGGTACTTACAAGTTCAAATTGTTTTCATTTTAGTATATTTTACTATTATTAGTTTCCATAGATTTCAAGAAACTAAAACCATCGAACAATGTTTTGTGCTTACATTCATCACTTATGCATATTTAACTTTTCAATATGTAGAATCCCCCCTATAATGTTCAAAACACATCCAAACGTATACATATATGTATGTGAGCATTTGTAATAAAATGACAGTGCAATGTTTATTTTAAGAGTGATTCTGTAGGTTTCTATTTTTTTGAACGAAATTTCCAAAAGAACAATATGTCAGGTAGATAAGATATTGGTAACTAATTTCATCAGCAAAGAAATTAATTGTAATGAAGAATAAATTAATGCCACGCACTCCATGTAATAAAACACTTAAAATTTGAAATTAAACAAATGCAAGTCTTTTCTGTAAAGACCATGAATTCGAAAACACAAAACCCAACGCAGAGCTACTTTGAATTGACCTCACGTCATGCGACCCACATCAGACCATAGCTTATGGGTATTGCGTGACGTGGAGCCTGCTCACACTCCCGAAGTGCAACAAGTCACATCTATAACAAACTACGGTAATTCTCACAGCAACTGCAAAAGAGTTCCGGAAATGAAGAAGGCTGCGAAACCAGAAAACAATTCGTCCATTGAACGTCACGGGCATGGCTCTATTCAAATATAGAAAACTTCCAAAGACAATTTACAAGAAAAAAAATCTGCACAAAATTCATAGATAAAAAAATTTTGCCACCTGATAAACATTGAAGTGGGAACTGCAACCGTCCTCTGGTGTAGTCCCTAGAACTGGTAGTAGTGGCGAGGTACATTTTGCAAACCTGTGTGCAAAACTGTGAGTAAATATTAGAGACTAAACCTAACCATATTCTAATAGTGAAGACCCTCTAGACTTCACGAAGAAGTGAGGAACTCTATATGGCCTGAAAAAATTGAGTAGAAACTTTCTATGTATGTCAGGACTGCACTATTTGATCCCGGTTTCCTCACAGCAAGATAATTCCAGCCACAGCAACCCCATCTATGTAAGTCTCAGAAAAAACCAGGCACCAACGTCCCAGAGAACTCCAGCCTGTGTTTGATTGCCTCATCGTAGCTCAAGCTTTTCTAGAAAAGCTTGGCTCCGCTGAGACGCGCTGAGATGGTCTTCAGTCCTTGGGATGGAAGACTGTGACAGCCAGCAAAGAATAAATTATCTAAACCCCAATTCAATTCATGAAAACATCAAGAAGCCAAACCCAAAACTTAGACATGCTGGTTGTGTCAAGTAGTAGCTGTTGTCCTCTATAACACCCATTATAGCAAGCTAAAGCATAATGTCAAGGTCCTATCCAGAACGACTATTCGGTGAAACCAAATGATGGATGAAATGGCGGTCCAAAACCACCGATGAAAAGGGGGAAACTGCAACCCTTTCCTAGAACTTTCAACAAGTTGACCAGGGGCAGACAAGCAAAAATCATACTCAGCAAGAATCAACCAAACGAGGAACTATTCCCATGATTGATTGCAATGCTTGAGCCTTCAGGCTTCATAAAACCAGATGAAAGACTGTATCCACTGCGTTGCAGGTATTCAGAATGCATCTGCTGCTGGGAGGACTGCTGCTGTTGCTGCTGATTATTTAGAGCCGTCTGTTGGAGTTGCTGAATCTGTTGCACATTTAGAGACTGGTTCTGCATCTGGAAGACATGCTGCCCACCAAGACTCGAATTCTGGCCAGAACCATTGCTGAGCTGCCCAGTTGCAACCCTCAAACGCTGAACTTCATCTCTTAGTGCTTCGTGCAAAGCTGTTACACCATTGGAAATATCAGTCAGGACCAAGAAATGCTCATCTGGGCAGTAGTCAGTACAAAATCAAGAATGATAATGACAGGTGAAGATAAATTTGGTAGAGAAAAACAAAAAAAAACAAAAAAAGAAAAGAGAGAGAGAGAGAGAGAGAAAAAAAACTTGGAAAATTTCGTGCGTACCATCCCGTAACTGAGCCTGCTGCTCCATAGCCTGCAACCGCAATTTCAGCTCGCTGTTTTCCGTAGTCAGACTGGTTGTATCTTTCTGCACAACAGAAGAGCCACAGAAAAATGTGAGAAGCTCTAAAATGTGAACCAGACCAGTACCCTGAAGTAAGAGACAGTTGACTCTCTGGCGACACGAAGTAATGTTTGAAAGTCTTCAGTCAACAGAGTACAGCAGTCGGATACTGGTTGTCAACGTCTGACAGGTCTGTAAATAATGGAGATGAAAGTGTTTCAGTCAACGTGGTTCAGACCAATCCTAACCCACGACCTGAACAAACCTTGTTAATGAAGACAAGAGAAAACAAACTATGAAAAGTAGACTGAAAAAGAAACGGTTGCAAGTCTACGTAATTTCCTCGGCAAGCAACTGATGCAAATAAAGTGCTACTAGATGAAGAAGAGAAACGATTGCAATCAAATTGCACGCAATACTGACTGCCTCATCACTGCTGAAGTGTCCCAACTGCAGTACCCAGATTGTTTGATTCAGGATGTGTCCCATTGACAACTAAATGAAAGAACTGCGGAAGAGTAATCTATTGCCAAAATATAAAGTCAGGTGTAAATACCTGCAGCAGTGTAAGTTGAGCAGAGAGAGTCGTGGCTTCCGTCTGCAAGGACTGCACTTTACGTTCCAGCTCTGAGATGTAACGCATCTTTCGCTCTTTGGAACGGGCCGCTGATTGCCGATTGGCCAATATCCTGAGAAATAAAACGAGCATCATTTGAGGGGGTAAGCTAAGGTAATTTTATCTCGAAGGAACACATACAGGAGAGGGTTGAGCACATGAATCGAAGCTTCACGAAAGAACATATACTTCAGCAGATAAGTCAGGAAAAACCTGCTGCAGCCAAGATGTGAAAAAAGGAAAATGCTGACCTTTTCGCACGCTTGGGATCAATTAGAGCTATCTCTGATAACTTTGCAGAAGCCATAGCCTTTTTACTGTCTGAACCCTCGAAATCGAGAGAGGTAGAACCATCCAATGAACTACTATGCTGATGTCGCGGGCGCCGGGGGGCTTCAGAAGATCCATAGTTGCCACCCAATCCAGCTCTACTGTTGTTAAAACCACCGAGAGCTTCCATTGACAAACTTCTAGAATGATGGGAAGAAGTTGGGGGAAGCGCATTGTTTCCCTCACCAGCAGACTTCGCACCCGCCTGACCGGACGAGTTACTAAAGTTGTTGATCTGGTCCATGTCAATATACATGGAGAAGAGATCCTCCCCAACCTCATCCGAAAGAGCTGGCATTTCAGAGCTATGCAATTCGCGCTCAAAAGAAGCCTCATCTGGCAAGCGGAAAGCGATCTCGGACTGTGCACGACGATGGCCTCTTCGTCGTGGAGGTGATTCTGGCATCCGATTCACATCTGTGCTGTAATTGTGAGCAGGGCTGGGAATCCGTGGGGGTTGTCCGGAGCCTGTGAAACCAGGCGGGGCTGGTGAATTCACTGCATCTTGCATAGATACCTCTAGTGACTCTCTCGACCTCATTGAACTCTCGGACAGAGCAGGAGACGTCTCCCTCTTGACAGTGAAGGGGTGCGAAGTGGACGGATAACCAACATATCGAGACTGGTGAAGGGGAGATTGTGTGGGATGTGGAGGATGAGAAGCAGCATTGCTTGAGGAACTATTCCCAGAGCCCTTCGCTGCAGTACCAGCAGCTGACTGAAGGCGCTCCACAAACGCCTCGTAGTCTTCTCCGAGGCCCTCCATAGTGTTCTACCCCAAAGAAAATTCTCTTTGTTCGGTGAGATAACCAACAGCCGACCTCCTTCAACTACAACTTCCGGAGTAAAAGATACCACACTACAGCTCTAATGGCCGAAGACGGAGCTCACCAAACCCTAAGCCAAGCCACACTCGGCCACCACGCAAACGGAGCACAAAAAACTTAACCTATCCTGGACTCTCTACACCAAATCATCAAGAATGTACCCGACTCCACCGCCATTCTGCAAGCACCTTCAAAATCACTAGCTAAAAGCAACTCCAACTTCCCATGCACACCAGCTACCGTCAAATCTCGTCTCCCCAAAACAAACAACCATCACTACATCGCACTCACACCCATTCCTCAAACCCTCCAAACACCTCCAACAGCCACCTCAGTGTGGCATTCTCCAAACCCAACCCTCGAGCCTCTGAATCTGCTCACCACCACCACCGCCACCACCCTTCTCAAAACCTCGTCGCCCAACTCGAACGAGGCAACACACAACCTTGCCTTCTGGCGCGTCGTCGTCGTCGTCTAGCCACTAAACCGACTTCCATCCCCACCACGACCGAACTCTGTGCTATAAAACTACATCCACCCCATCTCACATTCAAACACAACCCAACAGCAAAGACGCCTCTTTTACTTCCTTCCCGAGTAGACGTCGGTCTCACGAGGAAGAGAAGCGAAGGATGAGCTGGGATGGTGTCGAGTGTGCAAAGGCTCAGGGTCTGGGCCAGAAACACCCTAACAAAGTAGTAGAGAATGAGCTTGAGCGCCAGAGCGCCAGAGCGCCAGAGCCGGAGGAGACGAACGGGGGAGGAGGCTACCCTACAACACAACAGGGCTACTCTACGACAACAACAACAGGGCTACCCTACTACTACTACAACTAATACTACTACAAGAAGAAGAAGAAGTAGAGGAGGCTACAGAGGGGGGCGTTGCTACAATCCTACAGGGGGGCTACCCGTGCTGGGGGGGTTGGAAGGGGGAGCGTGTCGCGGAAGGCCACAAGAAGCCTCCTCCGGCACCCCATCCCATGCATGACGCCGTCTCTCACACGACACCGGATCAGCGTCCGCGTAGTACTTCTCCCACCACCACGTCTGTCCTTCTCCACGACGAAGACCTCCCCTCTCTACGTTCGTTGTTCACCGTTGGACGATGATGGTACCGATGGATGTGGTTGTGGATGTTTTTACTTTTCTGGCCCCTTGCTTCCGGGAAGTGGCGAGGAGGTTTCTGGGCCCATTCATTCCCCCATTCTCCCTGTCATTCTCCCATTGTCTCTCCCTCCCTCCCTCCCTCCCTCGTGTTTGGGTTTTGACTTGGATGTCAAACTCTCACCCAAATCCTGCAGGTAGTTATACAAGCAAAGCCATTTGTAGCCACCAGCAGCGGGTCTTTGCCTGACTGGGCCAGCTCCTCCTGCTCATCCGTGGACTTGACCCATGTGTTTGGATTCTGCCGCAGCCTCCATATCTCTGTGCTTTGCTTGCTTGCTGAAGGTGGACTTGGAGGTGCTGCTGCTGCTGCTGTTGTGCCTACTACCCTGTTTGTTTGATTGCGCCGCTGAAGCGGTGCCACTCTTCGTTCCTCCCTCCAGTCAAAACCGTTGCTTTCTTCCGCAAATGGGTGTTCAATCTGCTAGTAGTCAATCTGCCAATTCAACTACATCATCATATCCCCGTTTCCCATTTCCTGAGCCAGCATGGGAAAAGAGAAAAATAAAGTTAAAAAGAAAGAAAGAAAGAAAGAAAGAAAGAGCTAGAGAGACACACACAGAGACAATGAGCGTTGTAGGGATAAGAAACGGGCTTAGTACAAATCCTGTGCTCCCAATGAGGTTCAAATTGCGCCGCACTTAGTGGACTAATGTTCTTCTTATTATAATATAAAAGGTTGCCGAGGACATTGTCTCAGATAGGTACTGGGGTGCATCTGTCATCTGCAGTGTACACATATCTTAGCTCGTATGAATGACTTTCATCTTTGTACTCTATGTATCCCTAGCTATGACATCATAGTGTTAGGTCTTGCAGCCACCTCTAGTAGAATCCCAAGTATTTGCTTGCCAAGCCTTTGGGTACAGCTAGACTTCAATGATTGGCCTAATCAAAATTGTGACCAAAAAACATCTTGGTAGAGAAATCGGAAGTTGTATGAGTCTGAGCATACAAGAATTTAAGGCGATGAGTAGAAGGTGGAAATCCTATCAACATGAGTTTCATTAATGGATGTTAGGAAAATCCTATGCCAACGAGTTTGAGAGTCTTTCGAAAGATCATTAGACTTGGATAAATGGCTAGCTTATGAATTTCAACATCTAAATACAAGGCATAAAGAACAACATGTCAACTACATGCCATTGAAGACCTCCACAATAGAGCCGACTTATCACAACGAGCACGCAACAATAACATATGGCATAAATCATTGTCTATGTGCTACTTGCCGCAAAGATATCATCATTGATTTGGACAAATTCCTAGTGCTTTTTTAATAAGTTTTCACTAGGTGGCAACTATTTGGCATTTATCTAGGACTTCACTATAGTTATCAAGACTTACAACACCCTAGACACTTACCACGTTTGTTAAGGATAAGAATTTCAAAGAAAGAAAATTTTAATACACTCAATGTCACCTAAAAAGACTAGAAAATCATTCAAAGATGGTAATATATAAAATTAGAATGGCTATTGCCAAAAACAAGATGACTAAAAGGTTTTGAAATGAGACTCAAGACTAATATGGCGTTGATAAGAGTAAAGAAGACTTTATATTTACTTCCATATATACTATCCAATTAGAAGTTACATGACAACATCCTATAGAAACTCCAATATATATTTAATTTGTAAGTCATGTGTCTTAATTTGCAAGGCAAGTTTTCTATATGCATACCATATTCTTAGCTTGCACCACAAGCTATCTACACGTGAAGTACATAGCTGATTTGTTGGCCATATTTCTAATCTATTAATAAACTATAAACATGTATAAAGTTAAATATGTGTATATGAAGTTTTTAAGAAGCTTTTCCACAAGATAATATGAAATCTACATATATTTATTTTTACTTATTATTTTTTATCCAAATAAGTATGTATGTTTGTCATATTACCACCCTTTCTAAAAACAATTTCTACAAGGAGCAGTCATCATATATTGATAAAGTTCAAGATGCAATAAATTATATTTGCGATACATTTTAATCTTTGTTACATTTGAAGAAAGTTGATAGGTCTTCTCAGCCATCAATAATGTCCTATTCTAGAACAAGAAGACCACCTTGTTATTTGCTCATTATTGAGGCCTTTGTAACTTCCTCCAAACAAAACATTTATAATACCATCAAGAATTATTTTTACTTCTGATAAAATCACAAAACATCAAAAATCTCTTCCAACGTCATGATACCAAACATGTTATATTTTGCCATCTATTCAAAGAAGAATTTATCATTTATTAGGATCTTCATTTTAATTATGTTATTTTGAAGGCTGTGACAAGCCCAATGTCTTATTTGATAAGTTAGAAAATGATAGATTTTAAGTTGAATTTTTTAGTTTTTGATTTTCTATTTCTTTAGCATTACAAATACATATAAACTACAAACGAAGATAGAAGGTAAAATGTAATCTTTCATAAACTCCATTTCTTTTATAGCAAAGATTTTCTATTCTTCATCTTAGTTTTGATAGATATCATCAATGAAAAGCATCAACCTTCTTTATTATATTTCCAAGATTTTTAGTTAGCTCCTATATACATTCACTAATATTATATCCACATCAATGAATAAAATATTCTTATCTATTTCAACACCTCCTAGAGTCTAAAACTCCTTTTATTTCAAAATTTTAATTATTATTTACTTCTATAAGAAGAATTAGTATTTTTCTTTTTTTTAAGATATTCACTAATTTATATGGCTCAAGAAGAGATATGTGAGATATAGAATAGATCTTTATAGACTTCAGTAGATGTAATAAATAAACAACTGCATTGATTTATTTACAAATAGGAAATAGTCTAAGTCTACAATAATCTAAGTTGTTACAATGGTGGCTATTCTTGATATTACGACAAAACAATCATATCTTATTGCTAATGTAGAATTAAGGTTGTTCCTTGTAAAAGGCATCCACATTGGTCTTTTATCATTTTTAAGCTTCTTTTAATTATACCTTCATTGTTGCATATATCTCAAATAAAAAATTTAAATAAAATTTTGCAACAAGATTATTAATTTTTGAAAAGTTGAGAAAAATAAATTATAGATAATAATCATAATTAATAAAAAAATTATTATATAGAAAAATATATTATATTATTATAAGTAAACTCTATCAATGATAAAATAATTATCTAATCATCTTATTAGTAATTGATGGTACACCTCAAATACTACTCTAAAATTTAATTTATATACTTTTTTTATCCATTGATTTGAAGATAAAAAGTCAAAGATAATTCAAATATCAAATTTTAAATTTTTTAAAGAATTTTTCAAAATCTTGATACCAAATGAATCTTCTTATTCAATATAATAACTTTGGATAAGTAATGGGTTAAAAAGTCTATAAAGTCAATTCTAAAGAATTTTTGAACTTAAAAAAATATTATATTATTGTACAAAGTCTTTGACTGCTTTCAACATTTGAAGCTATCAAATATCTTTTGATATTAGTATCAAATTCTTGTATCCAAAATATCTTACTACTTAAAAATTATGACAAGCTTGAAGAATAAATAATCACGCTTTGCCTTCTAAAATATATAATTATCTTTCAAAATAGAATAGATTATTTTTGAACTCAAATTTAAAAGTATCATAAAATTTAAAAGAATTATTCTTAATATCATAAATAAGAGAATCAAAAGACATATTTGATTGAATTTTCTTGAGAAAGATTGAATCAATACTTAATATTCATATCATTATTCAAAGGTGAAAATACTTTACTTTTAAGAGAATTATTTTTTATTGATTACAAGTTGCATTTTCTTCTTTTGGTGTAAGATAAGAATATTTAGAAATGGTATTTGACAGACCTTGCTATTTTTCTAGTCAAAAGGTAATCTTGAAAAAGAAAACTTCATAAAAACATGCTCAAGTAAGTCTTGTAACAATTCAAAATACATGCCAATATAAAGTATTTAAGTTTTTTGTGATTTTTGTATACAATCACTAGACTAAAAGTGCCTTTTAAATGATAATATCATTCTTAAAATAAGTCTAATATTATAAAAAGTTCTTTGTTGTAGATCTTATAGTTAATCTTAGTTATTAAAAATTTCCTAGAAAGGTAAGCTACTTGGTAGAGCTTATCATCTCTTCCCATTTGCGACAACATTGTACCTACAATAAATTTTGATACATCTATTTTTATAAAAAAAATACCTTAAAAAAGTTGATGCAATACAAAATTAGTGTAAAAATAAATGTTATTTTTAAGGCTTCAAAAGATACTTCAATTTCTTTATTTCACTCAAGTTTATCTTTACATATCAAATATAAAAAAAGATCTAAAACTTAGAAAAAATTAGTGATGAAAATTTAATAATAATTGATAAAATTTTAAAAATATTACATATTTTTAATTATTTTTGAGATTTTCTAATCAATAATAGTCTAAATATTCTTAGGATCTATTATAAGGCCATCATTTGAAATGATGTATCTTACAAAGTCAACTTGAATGGTATAAAATATATTATTTTTTATCTTAGCATATAATCTTATATCTCTAAATTTTTTAAGCATATGACGAGCACAAAATTTATATTCTTCTATATTCTTAGAATAGATCAAAATATTGTCTAGATAATAGATGATAGAATCATCAAGAAACTCATAAAAGACATCATTTATTAGATGTTGAAACAAAGTT